ATCTTTCTATAGATGAGGAGTGAATGTCGTTTTGTTGGAGGCTGGCGGGGGAGGGTAGAAGTGGAAAAAGGGAGACAGATACAACCTTTGGAGGATGCCCGAGTGGATGATGGGAAAAGTCAAAAACAAGTCTTTTTTCGGCTAGCTGAACTGTCCCATCTGCGTCTAAGATACACACACAGTCACACACAAGGCTGACACAGAACGGCAAAGGAGGACAGAGACAAAGAGAAACTCACGCGCAGAAAAGAGAGGCAGCAGGGCAGATGGAGAAACACACACTGATGGATAATTAGCCATTAAGTGAACTGGCATAAGATGGAAGCTCAGAAGCCCTAAGGAAGACATGATGTCATTCTGACTGCAGGCAGCTTCTGAGGGAATACTTAGCTCAGCCTCTGTCCACTCAGTAATGTAACACAGGAAGGTGTCTGTCCAAGCAATCAGCAGAGGAAGACAGTCTACAATCCTGGGCAGCACCTGCCCACAGCCATGGCTGACTTGCAGTTTGCCTGGTCAGGAGGGCTGGGGCAGAGGGGTACCAGCTGTCAGGGGAACCAAACTAGACAGGAGCAGGGGTGCTTCCATGAAAATTTACAAAGAATGGCTCAAAAATTAGTTCTGAGCCTCTCCTCTCTTACCTCCCCCATCCCACCCCACATCCACTCCTATTTGGCATTTTCCAGTGCTTTTAGACTGAGGCAGGCTTAATATGATTTAGCTAAACCTGTAGGAGATAGACACATCATGTCATTAAGGGAAACTCCACCCTTCCTTTAAGATCTGGAAGGCCTCCACACTTCCTAGGCTGATGTCAGGAAAGGCCGTCAGCTTTCCCATATGATGCCCTTCTGTGTCCCTGTCACAGTTAACTGCATGTGTTGGACGCACCATGGGACTGGCCCAAATTGCTAGGGAAGAGCACCCACAAGGGAATCGGGAGACCCGAGTGATAGGCCTGTCCCTGTGTGATCTTGGGCAAGTCACTTTCCCTCTCCAAGCCTCGGTTTCCTTTCTGTTAAATGAGCACACTGGATTAGAGATTCTTTAAGGTCTCTTCCATCTCTGAACATTCTTAGATTCTCACGTCCAAAGGGAGACAGTCAAGATGCGGAAAGTAAAACCCAGGTACTCAGCTCAATGTCTGGGGTGCAGTTGAAGGACACATCTTGCAGGCTCCTAAGTTCCAGGGCTCTAACCCTGGACCCCTGGCCTAGAAGAGACCACAAGGCCAGCTGTCCAGCCTGCCACCTCCCACGGAGCACACTCCCCACCGCACCCCCACCCCCCAGGCCAGAAATTGCCCCCCTAGAGCAGAGAGTGGCAGTAAAGAGCATGGGCTCTGAATCCACATTAAAGTCCTGACCCTGTCACAGGAAACACGAGGTAGTGAGAGAGACAAGTGCTTGGGCTCACGGCTCAAAGAATGAAGCTCAGATCCATGCGTCTCTGGGCAAGTTATTTAATCTCTCTAACTTTGATCTCCGTATCTATCAAATAAGAATTATAATAATAGTCCAAATTGCATAGAGCTTCTGTGGAGATCAAATAAGATAGTGCCTGTAAAGCACCTAGCCAGGGCTCTTGGTTTAGTCAATATGTAGAAGTTATTATTATTATTATTATTATTATTATTACTGCCTACTCATTGGAAGTTTTTCTTGATGTTCATGTGAACCAGGAAACACTGGATTATACGTGTTGTGATGGAGAGGGGGTGGGACACATTGATTGGAGACACCAAATGGGGCTTCAAAGCCCTAGAGATGGCCCTGGCAATGAAAAGAGTAGCCCCAAATCTGAGAACTCAGTCACCCCCCTGTAAGGGTTGATGTATGTGCTACCCTGGGACACAGAGAGGCTGCCCAGGAGAGGCCAATCGCTACCCCTGGACTGAGAGAAGGGCTTGCGCAGACCTCTCTGCCATCCTCCTGTGAGGGCGGGATTTGTACCCTGATGGCCTTCTGTTGCTGGCTTTGGTCTAGGTCCACTTCAGCCTGTCACATTGGACTTCTCTCCCTTCCCCCAAGGGAGAAGCCTTTGGCAGTCACTTCCTAGCGTGGATTTGGCATTTGCTCCTTGAAAAACTCCAGGCCAGCCAGAGTGTGGGGCAAAATCTCCTCCTATCTAGATCATGTGCTAGCTGCCTTGCTCCGCCATCTTCCCCCCAGACATGCTGGTCTCGCCTGCTGCCTTTGGCCCTGAAAGTTGCGGCAGCTTTACAAGAGGCAGGGTCACCATCTCCCCGCTCCCACACCCCACCGTGGGCTCCTTCGGAATCTGCACTCAGAGGGCTCCTCCATGAGCAGTGTCACAAGGCTTTGCCCTCTCGAAAATATCATCTTCCCAAAAAAGCCCATATTAAGCACTTATCGGCACATGGTGTTGTGCTGAGGTCTGTTTCTAGTGAGTCACACTGTCACAGGCTCTGCCCTACGGGTAAAAGTCTGGAAATTTTGGCAAAGACTGTAAAATCTAGTTTAGCTAAGTACTGGGGTGTTAGAAAGGAAGGAGTCTTTTAAAAACGTCCCCAAGGCCACTGGGCAGTGACCCTCTTCCACTTGTTTTCACCTCCCTTTTCCCATGTCTGGCTTTCTCCTCTCCTCTCCTCCTGTTCTCTCACCTTGCTCTTCCCCCAAACTCCCAAACACTTTCTTTTTTCTCCATCTGAATTTCAGGTGGACTTATTCTCCCTCTTTGAAATCCAGAGAACTCTTTGGCTCAATGTGACACTTGACTTTAAGCAACCAATAGCATTAAATTTTAAGGTCTTTAAGGGTTTAAGAGCACATCCATATTTCTACTTTGGATTTAAAAAGGCATGTTTCAGGGGGTTTCTGGGTGGCTCAGTCAGTTAAGCACCTGACTTCGGCGCACGTCATGATCTCATGGGTTCATGAGTTCGAGCCCCACATCAGGCTCTGTACTGATGGTGTGGAGCCTGCTTGGGATTCCCTCTCTCTTTCTCTCTCTCTGCCCCTCCCCCACTTTCTCTTTCTCTCTCTAACTAAATAAAATTAAAAAAAATAAAATAGGGGTGCGTGGGTGGCTCAGTCGGTTGAGCGTCCAACTTCAGCTCAAGTTCGTGGCTTGCAGTTCGTGGGTGGGTTCGAGCCCCACATCAAGCTCACTGATATCAGCACAGAGCCTGCTTTGCATCCTCTGTCCCCCTCTTTCCCTGCCCCTCCCTCCCCCCCTCAAAAATAAATACACATTTTAAAAAACGAAAATAATAAAATAAAAAGCCATATTTCAGAAATTCCAGAATCTGTTTTTAATGTTTATTTATTTTTGAGAGAGACAGAGCTCGAGCAAGAGAGGGGCAAAGAGACAGAGGGACACAGAGTCTGAAGCAGGCTCCAGGCTCTGAGCTGTCAGCACAGAGCCTGACACAGTGCTCGAACCCACGAACTGCAAGATCATGACCTGAGCCAAAGTCAGACGCTCAATGGACTGAGGCACCCTGGTGCCCAGAAATTCCAGAATCTTACAACCTTACATTAAATAAGTTAGACACACAAGAGAAAGTCCTAACCAAGCAAACCTCAACATAAGAGCCCTAGAAAAAGATACAGACAGATAGCTACCTTGACTTTAAAAAGGAAATGTAGCAATCCTCCCCCCAAAATGCAAGGGACAAACAAGGTCACTATTAGAAAACATTGTCCCATCTTCCTGACCCTGGGGCTCAGTTGCTCTCCAGAACTCTCCCTTACCAGTACTGAGCTGCCCATCCTCCTGACATCTAGTGCCTCGGCCCAGTTTCCAAAGCCATTTTAAAACACATTCGTTTTAATAATCAAGGAATCTGGAGTTGTGCACAGTTTACTGTTTCATCATTCTCCCCCATTACTCAGCCCTTCTCTCCACATTACTCAGAAGAGGTGCCCTAGGGTCATTTGGGCTCATGACCAGCAGGAGGGAAACTGACTTCCACTTGACAGCCAGCATCAGACCATAGGCTCAAGGAAAGCCCAGCTGTGGATCTAGTGGGGTTGGTCTTTAGTGCCCAGTGCCTTTTGAGGTGTGTTCCTGCCCATAATCCTGCCCCCTCTGATCCCCTGACACATGAAGCTGCCCTTGCCATGTCCTCCCTCTGCACCTAGAAATATTTCTGTCCTATCAAGTTTCTGCCTTTTCTGAACCAGTGTAAGCACAAATGATCAGACGAGAATATCTGTACTTAGCCAATTTGATAAATAAACTAATGGGGTGGGGGAGGAGCAAGACACTTTCCTTGGCCCTCAGATAACTTGCTCTGCATTTTTACAGAAGCCTGCTGAAGACAATACCAACAGAATGAGTAATGAGGCAGTTCATTCATTAGGTATCCGAGGCAAATAAAGAAGATACTATTTGAGGGAGAGACTGTTCCAAAAGAACAAGTTTGTCTGTTATGAAGGGCTGGTGGGTGACCCTACCTCAATTGCTTTAAAAGGGCTCATGGCTTTGTGCCAGAACCACCCCACTTCATCCCTGCTCCACCTCAGCCCTGATCTTAACCATCAGCTGTAGTTTAAAATAAAACGGTTTTCATACACTGTGGATTTCCACCTTTTCCCCTTCTCTGATGCCTCAGGGCTTAGCTCAAGTGGGTTTTTGCAGCTCATCGGCACCCAAGAGGTAGAAGAGACCTCAGGATGTGCAAAGTGCTTTGGGATCCATCCCACAGACTGAGACCAAGAGATGCCTTATACCTCCCTCTGCCCACAGGTGCCACTGCTCAGGGTCAAGGATGGGATCAAACATGCTTTTCCTGTGGCAGGTGGCAAGCAGGGGCAAAGGGCAGGAGTGCAACCACTCCCACCAGCCCTAACAAAACGGATGAGGTGGGGACCAGGCCACCGAAAGAAGCAAAAGGAATGAGGAGGTGCTGAGGGTCTTGGCCTCGGCACGCGGCGACATGTCCACGGCCACGGCCACGCGCTGGACGTTTACAACCTCTAGAGCGATACCTCAGGCGAAGCCCCCTCCCAGATCCCTCCCTTCCCGGACCTGACCGTCTGGATCACCTTGATCTTCTCGCCCTCGATTTCCACGGTCTTCTCCCTGAAGTCCACGCCAATGGTGGCCTCAGTCTTGTCCGGGAAGGTCCCCCCGCAGAAGCGGAAGGTCAGGCAGGTCTTGCCCACGTTGGAGTCCCCAATCACGATGATTTTGAAGATGCGAATCTGCACGTACTGGTCCAGCGACGAGTCGAGCTCCAGGGATGCCAGGCCAGCGGCAGAGGCAGGCTGCAGGCTCCCATGGCCCAGGATGGGCTGCGCCATCTCCCCCGGACCGGACCGGGGCCCCAACCCCCCTCGAGGGCTCCACACAAAGAGAGCGGGCACGTTAGTGCGCTCGAGGCGAGTGAGCTTTGTGCGTGCGTGTGTGTGTGTGTGTGTGTGTGTGCGTGCGTGTCTGTGAGTGTATGTCCGCGCGTGTGTGCGTGCGCCGGCGGCGTGTGCGCGCGCGCGTGAAGGGGGTGCCTCTCACCCCAGGCCCCCCTCCTCCGCCAGCGCACCCTCCTTGCAGCTCCGAGGCACCGGCACAAAAGCTGGCGAGCTGGAGAGAGACGGAGTGGGCCGGCCGCGAGCCTTCTCCTTCCGCCAGTGCCCCCCGACCGGACGCTCGTGCGGGCGGTCCTACGACGCTCCCCAGGCGGCCGCCGCCTAGAACCTCCCCTGTCTGGACCCCTGGGACACACCGGAGGGTGGAAGCCTGAGGAGGGAAGGGAGGGGGCGAGGAGAGCAGCGAACGCCGCCCGGGGAAGGTCTTCCTTTCTCCTCGCCCCCATTGATTTTATAGGTTGCGGCCTCCCCACCCCCGCATTCTCGGAGCGCGCGGGGTCGCTGGGCAGGAAGCACAGCTGGAGAGGACAAAGACAGCTGCACCCTAAGGCTTCTCGGGCGCACTTCGGCCTCGGAGCGACAGTACCCAGCGGGGACGGGGAAGGGCAGAGACACCTCTTTCACCTCCAGAGTGCGCCTCCTCGGCCCCCTCCCAAGCCTGGAGATAAAGGGATGCACTGTGTTATGAGTAAGCAGGTGCACTCGCGCGCCCCAAGGAGCTGGGGAGGGTGCTGCTAAGACACGCCTTGGGTTGTGGGGGCTCGCGCAGCTGACAGGAGGGAGCTGGGGGCGCGGGGTGTGCGTGTGTAGGGGGAGTTACTCTTTCTGTCACCGACTTGCCAGATGTAGGGGGGGTGCGTGCCAGGCGCCAACCTCCCCTCATCACACCACAAGCACCCATCCTCTGAATGTTCAGGAGAGCGGCTCCCATTGGCTGTCGCTGTCGGTTGTGTTTGGCTGGCCAATGGGGAAGGCCCGCCGCCGGAGAGGGCCATACAGGGGGTTGGAGAAGGGGGGAAGCTAGTGGGGGCAGCTCCAGCAAAAGGGAACCTTGTTTCCGGGTCTAACCCTTACTGACCCAGGTGGAGGGATCTTGGGACATAGCATGACGCTCACAGTATCTGCCATCTGAAATAATGTCCATATAATGTTAAGTCCTTCCAGAATGGTGGAGTTGCAAAAGGAATTGGAAACCCCTAGGAGGGTTCACCCCTCTGCAACTGAATGTAGAACAAAGTGGTTGGGTCTAATTTGCCAGAGGCCTAGATTATGCTTGGAAGATGATAAATGAACAGAACTTTCTTACGGTATTAGGGGGCAGCTTCCCAAAGCTTACTAAGCATCACACATCTTGGTGGAGACCTATATTCCATCTCCCAAGAGTGATCTGCAGGTTCAGAATTTGCTTGTTTGAAACCAACTTTACTGAGGTACAATTTACATACAATAAAATACACTCATTTTGTTTCCTTTTAAGACTTTGTCCCTCCTCTCACACATTTCATAGGCTAGGGCAATATTGACCTATGTCAATAGCACTGACATATGAGTTATTTACTAATGCCTTCAAAGTAAGGGATTCCAGCAGTACACACGAGCTGCCCTTATGTGTGAAGCTGAGCTGCAGAAGAGACGTGACTAAATCCATTCCTACTATGAAAAAAATCAATTGGGTGCATCAGTGATAGATCTATATGCGAACTGGAATGTGATTGCTCAGCCAAGTTCAAGTTACTCAAAATGGCTGTGAAAACTTGGGTCTTCTAGTTAATAACCTTTCTTAGATGAGTTAGCAGATATATTTATAGCTAACTCTTTTCTCATATATATGAGTCACTAATTTCTAAAACCCTAGATTAAACTATTCAATATTAAAACCATCTCGAGGATTTAATTTTAGTTGACTAATCCAAGGTCACCATTATGAATACCAATTATTATTGTACAGTATGAATAGCAATCTTCATGTACAGTATTTTGGGTTTTTTTGTTGGCTGATATCTAAATAATAGTTTGCTGCATCATTCTCTTCTGTATTTGTAATGCTCCTGGTGATCATTATCTACAGAAGAGTAGCTATAAAGCAGGGGGGAAGGAGAGTAAGTATTAATTAGGCATATCCAGTAGGTAGAGTGGAAGGAAGCTCTGCCAACTCACAGCCAGAATCAATGCTCACTTCCTGAGGGATATAAAAATGTTACAGCCTCACAAGACTATTTAGATGTATGCTTCCAGAAAAAACTTGTCACTGAGTCTGAGAGTTTATATATTTATATATTTGTAAGGTAGAAACATTGATTTCTGGAAATACGGTATCTCAAAATGGGCTCCATACCCTAGTAAAGAGTGTTTGCTACCTCTGCAGGGAGAGATTTCGGGGAAATTCCACTTATATTTTTGGAGTAAGGTTGTTGTGTGTATATTGCTTTTGCAAAAAACATGATGAGATATAATTTTTAATTAAAGAGATTTTTTCAGTACCTCATTGCACCTATTGCGAAAATAAATGTGCCATACAGCACCTTTTCTTTGTGTTAGTTGTGCATTATTAAATGATTGACTTCCAAATATACCCAGCTGTATTTTTTTTAAAATTTTTTAATGTTTTATTTATATGTAGGAGAGAGAGAGAGAGCGTGAGCAGGGGAGGGTCAGAGAGAGAGGGAGTCACAGGCTGAAACAGGCTCCAGGCTCTGAGCTGGCAGTCAGCACAGAGCCCGACGCGGGGCTCGAACCCACGAACCGCGAGATCATGACCTAAGCGAAAGTCGGACGCTCAACCGACTAAGCCACCCAGACGCCCCTGAAAATTATTTTTAATGAGTAAGGGAACCCAGGATTATTTTCCCCCAATTAACATTGCTTCCAGGGTTAAACTTCCTAAAATGAGGGCTTTGTAATTTTTTCTGTATCCCTATTCCACTAAAAACAATAGGGCCATCTAGGTGGTTCAGTTGGTTGAGCATCCAATTTTTTATTTCAGTTCAGATCATGATCCCAGACTTGTGGGATTGAGCCCTGCATCGGGCACTGAGCTGAGTGTGGAACCTGCCTAAGATTCTCTCTCTCAGGGCTCCTGGATGGCTCAGTCGGTTAAGTCTCATGAGTTTGAGCCCTGCATCAGGCTCTGTACTGACAGCTCAGAGCCTGGAGCCTGCTTCATACTCTGTCTCCCTCTCTCCTTCCCAGTCGCCCTGTCTCTCAATGAATTCACATCTAAAAAAAAAAATGGATTCTCTCTCTCACTCTAGGGGTGCCTAGGTGGCTCAGTTGGTTGAAGCATCCAACTCTTGCTTTCAGCTCAGGTCATGATCCTAAGGTTGTGGAATCAAGCCCCCATGTCAGGCTCCACACTGAGCATGGAGCCTGCTTAAGGTATTCTCTCTCTCCCTCTCTCTCTCTGCCTCTCTCCCTTGTTGTCTCTCTAAAATAATAATTAATAATAATAATAATAATAATAATAAATAACTTCATCACGTACAAGATTAGGGCCAACCTCTTGCCAGGTCACATCTGGCCCCATCATATTAGCCTGTCCTTATCTACTGCCTAGTAGGTATTTGCTCCCTTTGTCCCCTCAAAATATGGTGAGTTTGTTTTATACCTGTGACCTTTTAAAAAATATAGTTTATTGTCAAGTTGCTTTCCATATAACACCCAGTGTTCATCCCAACAAGTGCCCTCCTCCATGCCCATCACCCATTTCCCCCTCCCATCCACCCTCCATCAGCCCTCAATTTGTTCTCAGTATTTAAGAGTCTCTTGTGGTTTGCCTCCCTCCCTCTCCTTAACTATTTTTCCCCTTCCCTTCCCCTGTGGTCCTCTGTTAAGTTTCTCCTGTTCCACATATGAGTGAAAACATATGGCATTGGTCTTTCTCTGCCTGATTGATTTTGCTCAGCATAACACCCTCGCGTTCCATCCATGTTGCTACAAATGGCCAGATTTCATTCTTTCTCATTGCCATATAGTATTCCATTGTATATATAAACCACATCTTCTTGATCCATTCGTCAGTTGATGGACATTTAGGCTCTTTCCATGATTTGGCTATTGTTAAAAGTGCTGCTATGAACTTTGGGGTACATGTGCCCCTATGCATCAGCACTCCTGTATCCCTTGGGTAAATTCCTAGCAGTGCTATTACTGTACCTCTGACCCTTTTAAACAGCATGGTGCTTCCTTTAAAATACTTTACAAATATTAGTTCATTTAATCTTTGAAGCAACAATCCTATGAGATTGGTAGATGAGGAGAGTGAGGCACAGTTAAGTGACTTGCCCAAGTGGTAGAGCCAAGATTCAACCTTGAGGAATACTGGATCCAAAGTCAAGGAGTGCTAAACCACTAAAAATACTACCTTTGGTCCCAATGCATTAATCATTTGAAATATTCCTCTTCCTCCACTATTTGAATTTTACTACTCACCCTTCCAGACACACTTCAAGAACCATTTGCATGAAGTCCTTCCTTAGCTACTCCAGCCCATACACTTTCCCTGGCTCTGGTTCTGAATTAGTCATTATTACCTAAATGATAATTAAATGATAGTATATGTCATTCTTTATTACCTGAATGGTAATTAAAGGATAGTATATGTCATCTCCCTAACTAGTGACCACTTTATACTTTTCTACATGCCCTGGAGCCCCTTTGGTAGTACAGTCCAAGTGGCAAGTATTCATTAAATCCTTGCTAAATAATTAAGTAACCCCAAACTTTGGAAAAGGCACGTTTATGTTTTGCATAAAGTCAAATATTTATTTCCAATTTAGCTTACATTTGGGGGAGTCAAAACACCTATTTACACTCAACCCCTCACCCTACTCCTCCCACAACTCTAAAGTCCTGCTTAGGATTTCTCTGTGAATCACGAACTCTTTTTGCCAGCATCCGTGCTCTCAAGCACAAAAGTCATAAAAAGAGACTATCCGCAGTACCTGGTACAGCAACTAGGACATACAATCCCACAATATAAGAACGAAATGGTGAAAGAGAGCACGGAATGATTACTTGCAGAAAAAGGGATTGGGTGGGAAAGTGTCAGCAATTTGTAAAATACGGAAGTCCACTCCGAATCTGGGAAGCCAGGTGCTCTGGTTCGGACCTATGGAAAAACTGGAAGTGGAATACAGCCAGCTAATCCGGAAGGTTTAGTACCTAGTAGCTGGCAGCCTAAAACAGAAC